TTTTTTTTTTTTTTTTTTTATTCGTCTTACAATACGATTAAATTCTTTCACCACGTGTAAAATGATTCTTCTTCTACACACAAATTTCTTCACTCAAAAAAGACTTTTTTTTAGTTTTTTTTTTTCAACTTATATTTCAATTTTTTTTAACATATTAATTGTTTGAAATATTTTGTTTAAAGGTTGCATTTACTTTTGAAATTTTTACAAGTGTATCAGTCGGTAAAGTAGACTCACCTTCTTTTATTTTCTATTTAAATTGATTCGACACTTAGGAATTCTAACTTGTTTTTTTTTTTTTAATTTAATAATGTATTGTTTAAAAAAAATTATAAATTTATAATATTAATTCGATATTAAAGTTATTATTCATTCATGTGTAAAATTTATTCCGTCTTGAATTTAAATTGTAAAATTTTATCGGTCGGTAAGATAAACTTTCTCACTCATGAAATTCTCATTCTTAAAAATTTCATTAATCTAATCATATTATTTCCAAATAAATATAATTAGAACATCAAGAATTTTTTATTGAATTATCTCAAAGAGATAAAAACCCATTCAGATTTAAATTATACATTAAAAAAAAAAAAACAACGTAGATTTAATCGGTCGATAATAAAGATACCACTCTTATCAATGGTCACATTGTGTTGATTATTTATATAACAAAATTATAAAAATTGACTATAACAATAATTCTAAGAAATAAAAAATAATATCAAAAACAATCGCAACGATATTTCATAAATAATTAAAATAAAATAAAAATTAATTAAACAAATCAAATGAATTTGCATATTTGTCGTGTATTGTTCAAATGAATAAAAAACTAATGGTAAGAGTATAATATAGAATAAAATGAGAAAAGAGAGGGTGTATGTACACACACACACACACGTATATATATATATGAAGAGAGTGGACCGAAAGGGGGTGGAAGAGGGAAACACATCGCGAAGGTCGAAAAACAAATTGCGAAAGGCTGAGAGTTACGCTGCTCGTTTCGTTCCGAGTGTGTTGTTAGTTGTGTTGTTGTTGTTGTTGTTGTTGTTCCCAACACTCGTCTTCTTCGTTGGTTGATTCGAAGGAAAGCACGCGTGTTTGCTTTTCCACGAAACATCTTCTAGTTACAGAGGACAATGCCTTTATGCGGATTTTCAAGGACTCCAACGCGACGACCCATCCAGTTCCGAGGCTACGCCACGTTTGTCTCTTTATAAATGTACATACGTGTGTGTATGTATATATATATATATATTTGACACACAAACGTACCACGTGTAAATGTTCTCACATATGTACACACGTGCCATCGATATTACTTATACACTATACTATTAAATTCTTTCGGCCATTTTTATGACCTTCAAATCGATCAAGTTCGATCCAGAATTTAATCGAATTTATTCCTTCCTTTTTTCTTTTCTTTTTTTTTGTTTTTTCTTGCAACGAGTCGGAAATATTTATGATGCATTTTATTAGATCGATTTATCGAAAGTGGACGTTGTTGTTTTTAAATAAAAGGATTCCTTGTGCATATATATGAGTTTAAATGTGTGCGTATTCATTTGTTCATTGAATTATTTAAATATTATCTTCAAATTACTTTATTATAACATGTTAAAGTTCGCAATAGAAAGAATGATTGTATTTTTTGTTTGTTTGTTTCGTTTCAAAAGTGAATATGAATTTTTTTTTTATAAAATTAAAATGTATATATTGGGATCTCTGGCAGGG